GCCCCACCGGCAGGCCTGGGACTCCGAACCCGGGGCGCCCCGCGCACCTAGCCGTTGCGTTTGAAACCCACAGGAGGACTTCAGCGCTGGACGGAGAGAGTGTGGGAGCCCCACCGGCGCAGATTGGCCCGAGTCGCCCCGCCGGCCTGCCCGGCCCAGACACGCCCCTTCGCGGCGACCCTCCCGCAGCCCGGTGGGCCGTGGCCGGTGTCTGCCCCGCAGACTCCTCACTCTTTCCTTCCCGGGCAGCAGACCAGCTGGAGAGGGGGCCTCCCGGGGAGGTCGTGGGGAGAGGAAAAGCGGAGACTGGGCGGCGACCGTTGGCGCTAGGACTGCGCGGGGTCCCTGGAAAGCCCGAGCGAGTCTCATGGCGGGCTGCCGTCCCCACGGTGCCTAGCACAGTGCCCGGACCTCACCCAGACATCCGTGTGGCCTAGCGGGCGAGAATGGGCTGAGCCCAGTCGCTGCCAGGTGTCACGGGGGTGTCGCAAGGGGGGAGCGCCTGGGACTGTGGGGAGAGCCAGCCCTCCCCCTCCAGCTGTTCCCAGATGTCATTCTGCCCGCCCAGGCGCCTGGTTCCTGAGCTCAGGGGTATTCCACGGTTACTAAGCTACTGGTTTTTGTTGACTTTTAAATATTTTCTTCTAAGGGAGAGGGGGAGGGGGACAAAAGTCGGGGAAGAGCAAATAAAAACAAATCAAAACAAGCTCCCCCTCTCCAAAAGAAAGCTGTCCTCCCCCCATCACTCCCACATAAATCTAAGGCCTCTGAAGGGAATCACCTTGCTGGAGCAACAACTGGACAGAACCGACCTGCTTTCTGCCACCCCCCATCCTCATCTCCCTTTCTGGTGAATGAGGGGTGGCGGTGAATGATCCCCTGTCTTCGAGCCTTGAGTGGACAAAAGAGTTTCCAGAAAGAGAGGAGGACAATGGCCAGTGGGAATGGGCTCCCTTCGTCCTCAGCCCTGGTGGCCAAGCGCTCCTCTGCCCTGGGCCCATTCCCCAGATACATCTGGATCCACCAGGACACACCCCAAGACAGCCTAGACAAGACTTGCCATGAAATCTGGAAGAGAGTTCAAGGTCTACCTGAGGCCTTGCAGCCTAGGACTTCCAGGGAACAGCTCTCTGCCCCACTGGGAGAGCCTTCCAGAGGCCACCAGCTCAGCTTCCAAGAAGAGTGAGTATCCCCCTACTTGGTCAGCAGCAAGGGAGAAGTCTGACCTTCTGCGGGAATGTTCTTCTGACCCAGCTTTCAGTCTGGGGAAACCCTAAAGACTGTATACTTTTCCTCTCCCTCCCCCCATGGTCCTTTGTCCAATCTTCATAGAAGGGATGACCGAGGCTCTGAAGTTACCTCAGTGAAGAGTCAGACCAGGGCCATATTTCAGGCTGCCTCTTCACCAGCCCACTAAGGTGGCATTTGTCCCCCTAAAGGCATGTGGATCTGAGCTCCTTGAAAAACCACCGTAGACAAGGCTGGGGGTTTGATGGCTCTTGGTTTTCTTCATAAGCAACTAGAAGTTTCTTCCACTCTCCCACCTAAAGGCAGGGCATTCACACAGATGAGTTTGAGGTTTTAAAACACATCTGGAATTTCCTAATACAGGGAGCAGCTGTCCCATTCAGCCTTCACAGAAGCTGCTGCAAGAGCACACATCAAAATATTTACTGGGAAGGCACTGACATATTCAGAGGACATAATGGAAAATTAAAGTGCGGGAAGATGGCTGTAAATAGCCTGTTTCCTGAATGGGGAATCCTGTGTCTGGGAAACACAGAGCTAAGCATATCTCCACCAGGGCAAAGTTGGGCAGATATTATTGGGGATGGATATTTGCAAGGAGAGGAAGAAGGGGCCTCATTAGGAAAAAGAAAGTAAATCCACTATGGTTATTAATGCCACCGTTGAGCACTTTTTCAGTGCTTTGCATCTTCACAGTGGACTGCAAACTTAATTAATCCTCCCGAGTCCCTATGAGGCAGGTATTAGTGTCCCCATTTTACAGATGGATTAAGTGTTAATAATTAAGTGCTAATTAAAGACTAAGTGATAATTAAGTGCTGCCTTCTCTAGTACATGCTTCAGCTCAGTTCAGAGATGTGCTAGAGTAGGGGAGCCATTGAGGCATTTTATCAGCTGCCTCTGATTTCAGGGATGTCTAAGCAAGAGCTAGGAAGACAGGCAAGGAAGATGTATTTGATACTTGGGTCTGCACTACCTGCTGTCCCTTGGCGGGCTCATTTTCTTGCTGCAGATGATAGTGGAAGGCACTTTGACTGTTCCTGCCTCTCCTGCCCTGTGCTCAGCATGACATGACTCGGATGGGAATGGCTTGTCTTCAGCCAAAAGCCTGCTGTCAGGCCCTTCAGTGGCATGGAGCCCTTCTCTCCCGCCCATTGCCATCTGCTTGGGACAGGGCCTTGGCAGGGGAGCCCATGGGGCTGTGCTCAGCTCTCAATGGCCAAGGAGCAGATTGTCCACTTTGTGGACCAAGGGTCAGTAGCAATTTCCAGTAGATGGCACCCTCTCTGCCAGGTCACACTGAGCTAATGGAGACAGTCTCGACTTCCAGTCTGTACTTGGCTGAAAATTGAACTGGCGCACCTTTGGCCAGTTGCTTAACTCCATTTGGCCTTGATTTACTCATCTGCAAATTGAGGATGATATGCCCTGCCTTGTCCATCTCAGAGTTGATAATGAGGATCAGATGTGATGGGAGACAGGGAAATGAAAGATTCATTACACAAATGAGTCTGCTCTTACATGTCATTCTTAGGGCTGGGATTTTTTGTTGTTGTTAGCTTTGATCTGGGGTTTTCATGTTATGCTCCATAGACCCCAGGGTGCTTTGGGGACCACCCTGAAGTTAAGTGGACCCCGATCCCCACTTCTGCCAGAGCACTTCATCTTTTATCAATTTTACTTACTGTCGTTCTGAGTAAGGCTGTGTTTGCAAAAAGGAAACCACTGACTTAGATGAATAAACGATATCATAATCTTCAACCAAGTAGAACACAATAAGCTATTCTTGAAATAAAGGCAACTGTGCTGGCGAAGTCGGATAGCTCTGGTTTTAGATTACATTTCAGCCCTACTCCTGCTGCAGAATGTGTTACTGTTTAATTCATCTGAGCTTTGGTTTCCTCATCTGTCAAATGGAGATGAATGCTATGTATTTCACAGGGTTGCTGGGATGATTAAACATTTCTGGTAATGATTGGGATTTGTAAAAATTCCTTGTAGTGATAATGATGATCATTCCTTTAAGCCCTACAATTATTACATGAGGTAGGTACTATTTTAAACTCACAATCTTTTTTACTTTGTACTATGCACATTTTCAAACACATAGAATAGAACTGTATAGTGAATATGTCTATATTTCTATCACTAAGTTTCAGTAATTACCAAATTGTGCCATTTTTAAGCGAAATCTTTTATACACATGAGGCAACTGAGGTTTAGGAGGGATTTTTATTTGCCCAAGGTCCTACAGTTTGAAAGTGGTAGAGTCTCAGAAAGGCAAACCAGGATCATCTTAGCCATTATACATTAATGTTGGCTGTCTTTCCCTAGAATCTGAGGCATCTTTGAATTATCAAAATACTTGAGAGTCCCATGTTATGAATGATCACACTTAGATTGCAAATCCAGGGGGATGTCCATGGTGTTTCTGGGATGCCTTCAGACCCACAAGACACCTCTCAGCTAGCACCTTACTGATTAATTTGTAGATGTGTTTTTGGTGATGTTTCCTTCTATTGGAGTATCTAGGTAAGTAAGTTCTAGAACTCTTGTTATGCAGAAATTTTTTCTGTACTCTGTCCCTATATATCATAGAAACCCAGACATTTCGAATTTGAAAGAAATGTTGGAGGCCATCTTCTGCTGCTTGAATCCCTTCCTCAAGGTCCCTGACAAGTGGTGCACACATATCACTCATATACTTTCTTAGATGGAGAGCTTACCACTCTTAAGGCAGCCCCCTCCCTTGCTATTAACTCTCTCAAAATGTCTTTTTTTCCTGTAACTAAAATCTGTTTTTAATCAAACTAATACCCATTGATCTGGATTTAGCTCTTAGGACTCCAAGCCAAATCTAACCCCTCTTTTTCTTTATAGACTTCAGAGAGTAAGAGACAACAATAATAGTCCTCCTAGGGTGTGTGTGTGTGTGTGTGTGTGTGTGTGTGTGTGTGTGTGTGTGTGTCTCAAAGCTAAGCACCTCTTGTTTTCTAAGTCTCTCCCCACATGCCAGCTTGGTCAGTTTCCTGTCCACACTGCTGGCCCTTGTGACAGTGCAGCTCCAAGAATTCAGGTGTGATACCGTCCCTACAGAATGGATCCTCTGTAACCACATTCTGATTCCTGTTAATGGCAACCAATACATGTCAAAGTAAGTGTTGCTATTTACTTTGCTCCTCATGCTGATATTCCTCAACGGACACATTTTGAGTTCATTTATGGATTCATTCATTCATTAAATTATTCATTCAGCAAATATTTCCTGCTATGTGCCCGTCACTGTGCTAAAAACTAGGGGGATAGAGCTGTGAACCAGATAAGGCCCTACCTACTTAGGACTTACATTCTAATAAAGGAGAGAAACAAAAAGCAAGCAATTTAAAAACTACGATAACTTTCGATTGCTGTGTGCAAATAACTGGTATTCTCGTTGGAGGAGATCAATAAGAAACATGTAAGAATAAACAATATAATTTCAGATAGAGATGAGTGCAATGATAAAAATAAAGCAGGGTGAAGTGATAGAAAGAGCTGCCTTAGGTGGGTGCCAGGAAAGGCCTTTCTGCAGAGAGGTAATCATCTGAGCTTAGACCTGGATTCCAGGAAGGAACCAGTCAGGTGCAGATCTGGGGCAGAGAAGAGAACAAAGACCCTGAGGCGGGAGTGAGCTTTGAGAGGGATAGCAGGACTGGCATGTACGGAGGGATAGGAACATGGTATAAGGTTGTACCTGAGGTGGGCAGGCAAAGCCTTAGAAGGCCTGGAGTATCACGGCAGGGAGTTCAGATTTTATTCTGTGTGTCATGGGACAAAGTTGAAGGTTTTTAGAAAAGAGAGTGTAATGTGCTCAGATTCACTGTTGTGCAAAGATGTGTCCAGTTTATGTGTGGGAGAGAGGAAACTGGGAGGCCCCTGGGAAGATGCTGCAAGAATTCAGGAGAGGCCTGATGGTGTGGGCTGGACCCAAGTGACTGCAGTAGAGATTTACAAAGTGGAGGACTCAGTGTGTTTTTTAAGAGGATCCGGTAGACCTGTTGATGATTTGGGCATACAAACAGAGACATTGAGGCTGAATCAAGGTTTTCGGCCTGAACCCCTGGTTGGACAGTGGTGCCATTTACAGAGGTGAAGAAGAAATGGGGAGACATAGCCTTTCAGGGAGAAATCAATAGTCCTGTCTAGTGCTGATTAACCTCTAGAATCTTGTCCAGTTACCTTTTAATTAGACTTAGATTTGGGATTAGAGAACTGTGGCAAAGCTACTTATTCCAGGATTACTTATTCATTCATTCCCCTCACCTCTAAAACTTCACAGCCTCAGAATGAGGGTATGGATTTGCTGATGACTCCACCGCCCTAACTATGGAATGGCATTTGCTACTTTCTTCATTTAGGGCTTCAGTCACCAAACACGATTGCCTTCTCAGTGTCACGGATAGAGAAATAAGTAGGACAGAGGAAATCCTTCCCTCAAAGAACTCCCAGTCTAATATGTGTCATGAGCACGAATATGTCTGACAATGATGACATTTAACATATATTTAATGTGCACCTACTGCTGTGTGCCAGACAATGTCTAAAAAAATACGGTGGTGGAAAAACTGGGGAAAATCTCTGACCTCCTTCATAGACCTTCAGCGTCTTGCAAAGGGCACGGCGCAGCACATTATGCTAAGTGTTCTGATGATGAAGTACCCATGTCATGGCAGTACACCGAGGGGACACATGACTGGAGCCAGGCTTGGTATTTAGGGAAGGCTTCCTAAAAAAGGCTAAAGGATACACTGAAGGGGTGACAGGTGAGACCCCTGTGCTGTGTGTCTGATGAAACGTGTGAGCACAGTTTTCTGGGCTCTGGGATGTCATGATTAATAATAACCACAAATGTTTCCTGAGTTGTGTCCCCTGAGTTAGCTCTTGAGAAGAGAGAA